GCTGTACTGTGATGGAAAAGGGGGGACCCCAGAGAGCATATGACTCATTTTGCCCCTATACACTCCTAAAAATAACACTCAAATTGCCACTTAACGGCTGTGGCCACTTAACAAAACAGAGTCATAAGTAAACATAAAATTAAGCAATAAAATTGAGTGATTTCTCAAGTATAATGAGTAGATCAGAAATGTGCTTGTTTGTTTTTGGTTATTGAGAATTGGCAAAATTGAGTGCTTTGGAAATACAGAGAAGGAACAAGTACATTGGTGAAGCATTCCATATTTTTTCCCCCTGATCTAAGCCATGGTCTTTTAACTATAATTATTATTATCATGAGCATTGTGCTTTTGAGTGCTTCATACACAAGTCATTGACTTCCAGTTGTACTATTAGGAACTGTGCCTCCAGGGTTTTACATACCAGCAGTTTCTCCCCCTTGTAGGCTGGTTTCAGCAGAGCAGCATCAGGAGGAAAATCTGAGAGAAAACTTTCCAGATCACCAGAGAACTGTGCTAGACAGTGAGCCCCTAGGCTGAAGGGCTCTGCAGGGTGGCTGCAGATGGACCAGCACTCACAAGGATGAAGCTGATGTGCTGGCAGCATCTTCCCATTGCATCCCGTTAGGGGATGCACATTGTCAACTTACCCTAAAAGGGTCTGTGGGCTTGGGCCACTTGACTATGCTCGGCTTAGTCAACTTGACTTATCCTCAGGCTGCCTCCAGGTTGAGATTCACCAGCCCGTTGTTTTTAAGTGCCATTGAATCCAGTACAACTCATAGTGACCCCATGAACTATAGACCTGTCCTTATCATCCTCAACAAGTTTTAATTCATTGCCGCAGACAGTGCATCAGTTCATTTCACTGAGGGTCTTTCTGTCCTTTGCTGAACCTCCACCTTTCCAAGCATGATGTTCTTTTTTCTAGGAAAACCATCTCCTAACAACAAGTCCAAAATATGGAAGTCGAAGCTTCACCAGCTTTGCCTCCAAGGAACATTCTGGTTGGATCTTCTCCAACTCATATCTATTTGTTCTTTTGGCATTCCCTGGGATATTCAGTACTCTTCTCCAACACCACAACTCAAATGTATTGATCCTTCTCTTGTCATCTTTATTCATTGTCCAGCTCTCAGGTGTATAGCAGGTGATTGGAAAGACTGTGGCCTAGATCAGGTACACCTTAGTCTTTAGACTAACATTGTTCTTCAGGACTTTGATGAGGTCCCTGACAGCCAACTTTCCCACTTTGCTATTCTGCTGGTACCAAGGGTATTGATTAGTGGATCCATACAAGATGCAATCATTGACAATTTCAATCTCTTTGCCATTTATCATGATGTTGCCTCTCAGTTCACTTCTGAGGATTCTTACTTTTTTGATATTGAGCCAAAGCTGAGTTGGGACAAAGAAAAGGTGCCCAGGAAAAGCCCATCAGGAACTAGGCCCAAGCTTTCCAGGGCCTCGTTCCAGCAAAGAGAAGAGGCACCTGGGGTTTTAACTGGGGGGTGGCCCCACAGGCAACCTCTGCCCAGCTCATGCTCAAGTTCTAGACTCCCAGAGGGGAAATAGGCCCTTGGCACCAACTTCGTGGCTCATATAAACCCTTTGCCCATGAAGGTGATGGGATATCCTGGAATGTAGGTTCAGAGTTACCATCCCTTGTGAACTTCCATCTCAGGCCACTTTCTGCTCAAAGCTGATTGACATTAGGTTCCTCAGGCCTTGACAGTCATCTCACGTGGAGTGAACGAGCCCTGTGGCATCCCACACTCACCATTTTCCCACAACCCTTGTCACGGTGGTCTGCCCCAGGGCTGGGCTGGCTTTCTCCTCACTGCTTACTCATCTTTTTCAGTCTAGCCCAGCGCCCCTTGGGTTTTTTTAGTGATTTCTAGTTAATGTCTTTGATTTGGGTGCTCACAGATCCCCAGTGCCCTAGCTCAGCCCACATCTGAAGGTAGGGATCTCCAGCAGATGCGACAGGTAGTGGAGTACAGCCTGGCTCAGGGTAGGTCCCTGGGGCTAATCCCCCCATCCTAAAATCCTTATCAAACACATGGAACGCTCTGTGTGCCCACCCTGCCTTCTGATCATCCAGGGATCACACCCACAGCCAGGTTGGGCTGGGGCCAGGGGAATGAGCATGTACATGTCATTTCAGGAATCGGTTACGTTCAAGGATGTGGCTGTGGACTTCACCCAGGAGGAGTGGGGCCAGCTAGACTCCCCTCAGAGGGCCCTGTACTGGGATGTGATGCTGGAGAACTACCGGAACCTTCTTGCCCTCGGTAAGGTTGCCCCAGGCTGGCTGCTGGCTCCCAGGCATTCTGTAGAGGGGGGCAGAGAGCAGTGGGCATCTCTTCAGCTGTGCCCTGTGTTGGAAGGGGGGCTGGGAGAAATGCTTCACCACAGTTAGGCCCGGGGAGGGAGGCCTGCTGGTGATGGGTTTAGAGCCCAGCCTCTTACCACGCTCCCAAATGAGATCCAGAATGGCTTCAGTAAACCAGGGTCCTCAGAGCATGCACCAGGGTCAATATTGGGCACCCCCAGCCTCTGTGGGTCTAGTAGGCCTCTGCTTTTCCTCCTGCCAGGGGGCCTGGCGACACAGAACAGTGCTGGCAGTGGCACTGCAAGGGACCCTCCTGCCGTGTCTCTTCATCCCACAGTGTTTGGGGCCCATAGAGCGGCACCTCACCACTGGCTTTCTCCTCCTGGGCAGGGCCTCAAATCTGCAAGCCAGACATGATCCTCCTAGAGCGAGATGAGGCCCCGTGGCACATGCAGAGTGGAGTCCATCCAGGTGAGTCCTGGGGAGCCCCCACCAGTCCTGGGGAACCCATCTCTGCTGCCTCATTCTAGACGCTTCCCTTCTCCCTACGCTGTGCTGGGAATAAAGCAGTGACCAAATGGACGAGAAGGTGTGCGTGCCTTCTACCACTTGGGGGCAGAGAGGACATGCTGTTTAATACGTGTGGCTTATCAAACGGAGCCTAGAAAGATAAAGTGGCAGGGGTCGGGAGGATGGTGAACTGGAGTCTTAAGCCTGGTGGGCAGGACGTTGCTCCCTGGGAAGGAGCCAACTGAGCCAGAGCCGTGCTAAGCACAGGTCAGTGAGAGCTACAGGCCTTCTTACATTTTCCCTTTCATACACCTTTTAATACCTTTTCCTCTTGATAAATAAATGATGGTATTGTTGTTGTTGGTATATACCGTCGATAGCTAACTTCAATTTAATCTAGTCAATAGTAAATGCTGTTGCTGTTGTTGTTGTTGAGGTGAACCATCACGTTGGGTATAGCTGACTCTCCAGCGGGTTTGCAGAGGCTGTAAATCACATGGAGAAGACTGGCCATCCTCTCACAGAGCAGCCAGGGGATTAGAACCACATACCTCGCCAGCACAACTCCTTACCTGTGAGCCACCACAGCTCTCTCTACTGCAAGGGCTTCTAACACCTTCTTTTTTTACAGACTGTTCCACTTGATAAAGGAGTAGTAACAGACTACTGGCTTTAGCTTAACTTGGTGAACGTCGAGTATATTAAGAGCTATGTCCAGTTGGCCAAAACTCATGACATGCGAGTAGGAAGAAGTGCATTTCATAGTTTTCAGTGCCTTTATTTCTGGAACTCGAGAGGCCAGCTTTTCTTCAGAAGTGCCTCTAGGGGACAGCTAAGCATAGCCCCTATGTGCACTGAGTATGTTTAGGTCCTGCATGCTCTGCTGAGAGCTCGTTTAACTTTTGGTTGTAAAGTGTGCACATGTAAGAGAGAGAGCGAGCTCTGGTGACCGGGTGGGTAAGGCGTTGGGTTGCCAACCCAAAGGTAGGTGGTTCAAATCTACCGGCTGCTCCGTGAGAGAAAGATGAGCAGTCTCCTCGCATATGATTAGCAGTATGTTGTTGAGTACCATCAAGTCAGAAACAACTCATAGCCAGGCCTTCTGGTAGGTTTTCAGAGACAGTGAATCACATGGTCGGAGATTGTTTCCTTCTGTGGAGCAGCTGGTAGGATTTGACCCACATACTTTGGGTTGGCAGCACAATTCCTTACACTAAGCCACCAGCGCTCCGTGTGTGTATGTGTGTGTGTGCGCGCGCACGCGTGTGCAAAACATCTACCAATTCAACATTTTTAGTTGAGGGACATCAGTTATGTTGAGCATGCTTTGCAGCCACCACCATTCACAGAAATGCACTGATCTATAAACAGTGGCTCTTCTTACCCCCCCACCCCTTCTGCCCCGTCATCCCTATGTATAGGGATCCCACTTTGATCCTTACACACTTCCTGTTCTGGATATTTCGTCTAACAGGGTCATGTCACACTTGTCCTTCTCCACCCGTCTTCACTCAGGAGGCTCTTCCCAGGCTGTCTGACCCTTCCCAGGCCATCTGAGCTGTGGCCCACGTCAAGACGTCATGTGCCAGACACCTAAGTCCTATGTATGTTTATCTGGTTTCTAAAAATTGGCATGCTTCCCAAAGCAAGAAAGCATTCTCGTTTCAAGTTTTCTAAAGGAAATGTTGAGGAAAAGAGGTGAAGGGGAATCTGTCCTTTTTGGTGCCCGGGACTTTTCTTTTCTATATATACGGACGTCCATATGGTTTTGTACACAGTCAGATGACACACAACCAGTTTTCCAGCCCTGCTCTCCTCTTCTGTCCCTCCTCCACTTTCTGTGGCCTCTGCCTGGACCCTGCGCTCCCCAGCCGCCCCTTCCTGTCCACCTCCACCTGGCAGCCTGGCTTATACATCCCTGGTGTGGATGCCGGGGTCTCTCCACTTTTTCCCTCCTCAAACTCTTCCACTCTCGGCCTCTGCATCTGGTAGACCCCAGATCCTAGTCCCAGGGCCCTGTTTCCATCCGCTTACAGAACACCCATCTCTTACAGAGTGGAAGCCTACTACAGCCTCTGTGATGAAGAAGGGGCCCCCCTCGGCGGCCGTAATGGAGAGACTGTGTGAGCCCAGTGCCTGCAGGTCCAGTGGAGGTGACATGTGGGGCCAGGAGGAGCCTGCCAGTGTTCTCCCTGGAAGCGTGGGTGCCTCTCAGAAGCTGGGGCCCACCACCTGTGATGTGCAAGAGACTTGTCGAGGGCATGAAAAGTCCAAGGGAGGTTGTCGTCCCCTTAGCTCAGCCCTTTTTGACAACAGGCGGGTGACGGTGACAGAGCCCCAGCCCCGTGAAGCAACTGTCCGGCGCCCCAGGGAGGCGTTAGAGCAGTGCACCTCGCTGGCCCTGCGCCAGCGCTGGCACACCCCAGAGAAGACGCACAAGTGTGGCACGTGCGGCAAGGCTTTCACCTGCAGCAGCAGCCTGCTGGAGCACCGGCGTACCCACACCGGGGAGAAGCCTTTCTTCTGCAGCCAGTGCGGCAAGGCCTTCAGCTGCCACTCGTCCCTCAACGTGCACCAGCGCACACACACGGGCGAGCGGCCCTACAAGTGCCCTGCCTGCGAGAAGGCCTTCAGCTGCAGCTCGCTGCTCAGCATGCACGTGCGCGTGCACACCGGGGAGAGGCCCTATCGCTGCGCCGAGTGTGGCAAGGCCTTCAACCAGAGGACGCACCTCACGCGCCACCAGCGCCTCCACACAGGCGAGAAGCCCTATGTGTGCGGAGCCTGCGGGAAGGCCTTCACCTGCCACTCGTCCCTCACCGTGCACGCGGCCATCCACAGTGGGGAGAAGGCCTTCAAGTGTGGGGAGTGCCAGAAGGCCTTCGCCAGCCGCTCGCGCCTCACCCTGCACCAGCGCGCCCACACCGGTGAGAAGCCCTTCGCATGCGCTGCCTGCGGCAAGGCTTTCAGTTGCCAGGCGTACCTGGGCGTGCATGAGCGCATCCACAGTGGCGAGAGGCCCTTTGCGTGCAACCAGTGCCGCAAGGCCTTCAGCTCGCCATCGTCCCTCATCGTGCACCAGAGGGTGCACACGGGCGAGAAGCCCTTCGACTGCAGCCGCTGCTGGAAAGCCTTTAGCTGCCAATCGTCCCTCATCGTTCACCAGAGAGTACACACAGGCGAGAAGCCCTACAAGTGTGCCGAGTGTGGCAAGGCCTTCAGCCAGAAACACTGCCTCCTCAAACACGGCAAGGTCCACTCGGCGGAGAAGCTGCTGCAGTGTAAGGAACGTGGGGAGGTGTTCACCTGGAGCGCCCACCTCACACAGCACCAGAGACTGCACAGCGCAGAGAAGCCCTTTCCCGTGGGCCTCCACAAGCACCTGCTGAGCCCCTACTATGTGCCTAGCCAGCTGCTGGGGACAGGGGCCCCAGGACGGGGCAGTGTGGGCACTGTGGATGCCATAGATGTGGCTGGGCTGCTTTGTGGGGTGCCACCCTCCCCCAGCCTGAAGCCCCCTTCCCCAGGGGCTAAACAAGTTAACTGAGTCATTTTCTCCTCTAGCAGCTGTTTGCCTACATCAGGTGCATCACTTGGCCCTCCCCTGGTGAGCTCGTGTGCATCCGGGTGAACAAGAGCCTCCTCCTCCTCGTCCAGGTCACCCCCGTGATGGGACCACCTATCTAGAGCCAGTCCCCTTCTCAGGGAGCAAGGGGCAGCCCAAGAGAAAAGAGATGAGGCTCACTGAAGGCAGTGACCAGCTACTTCCCTGGGAAGTGCAAGGGGAACTCTCCCCGTGAGGAAGAGAAAGAACAGCGTCCTTGCTCTCGGCCTTGGACAGGTTCCTGACACCCTTGTAAGGAGGCGTTCCTTCTGTGAGGGGCTAGCTTTGGACTAGAAAGGAAAACCCCTGGTAATTCTATTACTTTCTCCCAGTTACAGGTGGTGATGGTGTTAGGTGCTATCGAGTGGACCCTATGAACAGTGGATCTGAACTTTTCCCTATCCTGTACCATCCTCATCATCTCTGCCACACAGAGCCCGTTGTAGTCACTGTGACTATACATCTCATTTGGGCTCTCCCTCTCCTTTGCTGATCCTCCACTTTTCTGAGAATGATGTCTTTCTCCAAGGACTGACCGACCTCTCTTAACATGCCCAAAATATGTGAGACCAAGTTTTACCATCTTTGCCTTCTAAGGTTGTACTCTTTCCAAGACATATTTGTTCATTCTCTGGGCAGTCCATGGGTCATTATTACCACTCTGCAGCACTACAACTCAAAGGTATAAATTCTTCTGCTATCTTTATTTACTGTCTAACTCTCAGATTCAAAGCAATTAATTGAAAAGACCAAACTTGGGTCTGGTGCACCTTAGTCTTCAAACGGACATGCTTGCTTTTCAGCCCTTTGAAGAGGTCTCTGACTGCACACTTTTCTAATGTGACATGTCTTGGTTTCTTGACTCATTGCACCAAGACTCGAGTCACAATAGTGAAGGATGTCATGGACAAAACCCTGCACGATATAGGAAATATCAAAAAAAGATTAAAGGCATACACACTAGCTGTACCACAAAAGAACTGGTTGACATAGAACCATCTTAGGAAGGAGCATATGATCAAGAGTCATTGGGGACGAAGGAAGACATTCAAGTCGCACTGAAGGCATTGGCAAAAACTAAGGCCCCAGGAATTGATGGGACACCAGTTGACACATTTCAACTAACAGATGCAGCCCTGGACGTGTTCACCAGTCTGTTCTCCAACTGGAGATCTATATTTGTTCCCATTCCCAACAACGAGGACCCAACAGAATTTGGAAATTATCAAACAACATAGTTAATAGCACATGCAAGTAAAGGGTTGGTGAAAATGATTGAAAACCGGCTAGATCAACGCATCGACAGAGAACTGCTGTGAGAGTCAGACTGGATTTAGAAGAGGCCATGTCACCAGAGATACCACAGCTGATGTCAGGTGGATCCTGGCTGAAGTCAGGGAGTACCAGAAAGACACCTACTTGTATTAAATTGGCTATGCAAGGCTATGTGGATCATAGTAAGAAATTGAGGGTAACACTGAGAAGACTAAGAATCCCAGTACACTTAATTGTGCATATGCAAAACCTAGACCAGGAAGCTGTTAATGCAAACAAAGCAAGATAGCTTTGTTTGCATTAACAGCTGGTTTAAAAACAAGAGTAACATTGGGTTGTGTTCTTCCTCCAAACTTGTTTAATGTCTGTGCCAAACAAATCATTTGAGAAGCTGGACTTTAAGAAGAACATGATATCAGGTTTGGAGGAAGACTCATCAACAATCTGCATTATGCAAATGACATGGCCTTGCTTGCTGAAAGTGTGGAGGACTTGAAGCACTTGCTGTGGAAGATCAAAGACTACAGCCTTCGTCTCCTCTCTGTCTTCTCTGCACTAGGAGCAGCTTTCCTGCCACAGCCCCTCATCTCCTGAAAATGTTCTTCCTGCACCAAGTTTGTCTCCACCCTTCCATAGTCAGGAGTGCCACTTAGCTGCTGAGCCGTCCATTGTCTGCAGTGGTCCTGAAACAACCAGATTCACTGAGAGATGAGAATTTCAGCTGCTTGACAGCCCCACGTTTCTTGGTTGCATTAATCCCTGGTCGCAGCTTCCAAACCAGCACCATCTCAAGGGATGTTGGCACAGCAGTCAAGTTCCTTGGGGCTGGGGTTGCCATGATTGGAGCGGCTGGCTCTGGAGCTGGGACTGGGAATGTGCTTGGGAGCCTCATCATTGGTTATGCCAGGAATCCTTCTCTGAAGCAGCAGCTCTTCTCCTGCACCATCTGGGCTTTGCCCTCTCTGAGGCCAGGGGACTCTTTTGCCTGATGGTGGCCTCTCTGATCCTCTTCGCCATGTGAAGGAGCCATCTCCACCTCCGATAGTTTGTTGGTTTTCTCCCCCCGTGTCTCATCTACCCTCTGTGTTCCTTTCTCTGTATCTTCCCAGGCAGCCTGGCGAAAGTGATTGGCTCAGGGTTTGACTGAGGAAAGATAAATAAATACTGTTAATAAGAAAGAAAAAAAAATACTACAGCCTTCAATATGGATTACTTCTCAACACCAAGAAAACAAAAACCCTCACCACAGGGTCAATAGACAACATCATAGCAGATGGGGAGAAGGTAGAAATGGTCCGTGGTTACATATGATTTGGGTTCATAGTCAACTGCAACTATTACAGGTAAAATTTATATTCCAGGATGGTGGATTTTTAGAAAAAGTTTTTTTTCTGGACCTAACTGATTTAAGTAGTTCTACTGCACTTTGGGCATGTTGCTATTCCTTGGAGAGAGACATCATGATTGGGAAGCTGGGGGGGGGGGGGGACAGCAAAGGAGAGGAAGGCCCTCAAACAGGTGAGTTGACACAGTCACTCAAGTCACTAGTGAGGCTGGTACAGGATCAGACAGGGTTCAGATCCATTGTTCATAGGGTTGCTACAGGTTGTGGTCACACAACTGCAGAGTCAACACGGCGGATGGTGTGGCTCAAGGATGCCACGGAAGCACATCAGAGCCTCATTTTAGCCAGGTTCTGGCACACCTACAGCATGCCAAGTCAAGATGTCCTGTGCATGTAAGGGAGGTGAGCATAACAGTGGGAGAGGTGTGCCTAGAACTTCTGGAAACATGCCTTCACTGGCAGCTGCCAGGCTCCATTGAATCACAGCTGATTCAGAGATAAGGAACCCCTCCACTGAGGAAAATCCAGGGAGGACCCTCAGATCCAGGGAGATGGTCCTGAGGGAGACTCCCGTCATGTTGCCGTACACACCCAGCCCTGCATGGTAGATGGGACCCGGGGTCACCTGGAATCTACATGATTGTGCTGCATTCTAAGCAAGTATAAGCTGCCTTCTTATAGCATACCATTTTTATAAAGTGCTTTTAAAATACTCTGTAAGTTATCGAGGCAGTAGAAACTGTGTTTAAGAAAAAGACCATACTTACTAATAAAACTTCATTTTGCACTTTGATACATGACCTTTTGCTTTACTCTTATTGCATTGTTATTTGTTGTG